CAGGATTCAAAATAAGGGTCTTAAGAGAATTAGTGAGATACAAGAAAGAATACAGAAAGACCATGGAATTAATTCAGAAAAAATAACTCACGATCTGAATAGGAAATTCAATAAAGATAGATATGAAAAAAGGATCAAACAAATTTGGAGCTAAACAATGTAGGACATGAAAGAAAAAATGTATCTGAAGCTTGACAACAGAATAGAGCAAGCAAATGAAAGAATTCCTAAACTTGAAAATATTTCTTTTCAAATAACCCAGAGGGTTAAAAAACAAGAGAAATTAATAAAAAAGATAACAAAATAAATGAATAAAAAATACCACAGGACTTATGGTACACCAATAAGGGAGCAAATATCTATACTAGGGGAATTCTAAATGCAGAAGAGATGGGGGAAATTACAGAAAAATTACTTAATAAAACAATTGCAGACAGCATATCAAACCTCGGGAGAGATATGGACAACCGAATCAATGAATCTAAAAAGTTCCAAAATATATTCTTCTCTAAGAAGACCTCTCCAAGGCATATTATATTTAACTGTCAAAAGTCAAAGACAAAAAGAATTTTCTTTATTTATTTGACAGAGTTATAGACAGTGAGACAGAGAGAGAGACAGAGAGAGAGAGAGAAGTCTTCCTTCCGCTGCTTCACTCCCCAAATGGCCGCCATGGCCGGCACTGCACTGATCCGAAGCCAGGAGCCAGGTGCTTCTCCTAGTCTCCCATGCGGGTGCAGGGGCCCAAGCATTTGGGCCATCCTCCACTGCCCTCCTGGGCCACAGCAGAGAGCTGCCAGGAAAAGGAGCAACTGGGACTAGAACCCGGTGCCCATATGGGATGCCCCTGTACTGCAGGCGGAGGATTAACCAAGTGAGCAACAGCGCCGGGCCAACAAAGAATTTTAAAGCAACAAGTCAGATATAAAAGAATTCCCATTAGTCTGTGATAATATTTCTCAGTAGAAATATTGCAAGCCAGGAGAGAAAGGAGTGATAAATTCAAGGAGAAGCAAGATTTAAAAAAAAAAAAAAAAGAGGTAGGCATTTGGTACCATGGTTAAAACATCACTAGAAATTATATATCAGCATGTCTTCCTGGGGTCAGATGTTGGTTCTACTTTCTATACCACCAGGGATGTGATATATATATATATATATATATATACACTGCATACTATATACAATATATATTCTATATATAGTATATATATTATAGTATTATATATAGTATATATATTATATGATATAATATATAATGTAATATTTTACTATAATATACAATATATCTAAATATGTTTAATATATGAATTTTTTTCTATTTTGTTTTTTTAAATTTTTTTTTATTTTTAACTTTTATTTAATGAATATAAATTTCAAAAGTACAGTTTATGGATTACAATGGCTTCCCCCCCATAACGTTCCTCCCACCTGCAACCCTCCCATTTCCCACTCCCTCTCCCCTTCCATTCACATCAAGATTCATTTTCAATTCTCTTTATATACAGAAGATCAGTTTGGTATACATTAAGTAAAGATTTCAACAGTTTGCTCCCACACAGAAACATAAAGTGAAAAATACTGTTTGAGTACTAGTTATAGCATTAAATCTCAGTGTACAGCACACTAAGGACAGAGATCCTACATGAGGAGTAAGTGCACAGTGACTCCTGTTGTTGACTTAACAAACTGACACTCTTGTTTATGGCATCAGTAATTTTTTTGACAGGCAGAGTGGACAGTGAGAGAGAGAGACAGAGAGAAAGGTCTTCCTTTGCTGTTGGTTCACCCTCCAATGGCCGCTGCTGATCCAAAGCCAGGAGCCCGGTACTTCTGGTCTGCTATGCGGGTGCAGGGCCCAAGCACTTGGGCCATCCTCCACTGCCTTCCCAGGCCACAGCAGAGAGCTGGCCTGGAAAGGGGCAACCGGGAGAGAATCTGGTGCCCTGACCGGGACTAGAACCTGGTGTGCCGGCGCCGCAGGTGGAGGATTAGCCTATTGAGCCATGGCGCTGGCCAATATATAAATATATTTATATAAATATATATTTATACATGAATATAAAATTTACATATATTATATTTATATTCACATATATTTATATTTACATATAAATGTATAATATTTATATTTACACATATAATTGCATATTATATTATATATAATTACATATTATTATATAATATAATATATGTGCTATATATAGTGCCTGATTCAAGTTTTGTTCTACTTTCTATATCAGCTTCCTGATAATGTAAACCTTTGGACACAGCAGATTATTGCTCAATTATTTGGATTCCTGCTACCCACATGACAAACCTGGATTGAATTCTGAGCTTCTGGCTTTAGCCTGGCCTAGTCCTGTCTCTTACAGGTATTGGCAGAATGAATCAGCAGATGAAATCAATCTCTCTCTCTCTCTCTCTCTCTCTCTCTCTCTCTTTCACACACACACACACACACACAGACACACACACCCTTTCAAATAAAATGAAAATCAGTTTTTAAACAATACCGAACTGTGAACCAAGAAGCCTACATCCAGCAAATCTCTCCTACTGAAATGAAGAGAAATAAAATCTTTATCATACAAGCAAATGATGAAGATATTCATCATCGTGGCACCTTGCAAGAAATACTTAAAGGAATGCTTCGGCTAGGGGCAAAAGGATGATAATTACCAACATGAAAATATATGAAAGTACAAAACTCACCAGTAGAGGGAAATTCATAATCAAATTACGAATACTCCGTATATCATATTTTCAGTTGGTAGCAAAAATCTTTCAAGTATCTACTGTGAATGTGAATGTCAAGATGGTAAAAAATAACTATGGCTACCATTTGTAGTTAAGGAATACAAAATATATAAGGTTATTTATCATGGCAACAAAAATATAAAAGGCCAACAATTACATTTAAAAAATGTTCAGTATCACCAATAATTATTGGATGAAGGTAGAAACCACAATGAGATATCACTTCACTCCAGTAAGACTGACTGTTTCCAATAAGACATAAGAAAAAAGTGTAGATAAGGACGTAGGGAAAAGGGAATTGTTGCACACTGTTGGTGAAAATGTAAATTAGAACAGACATTATGGAAAACAGTATAGAGATCTATTAAAAAAAAAGTTAAAAATAGGGGGCCAGTGCTGTGGCACAGTGCATTAAAGCTCCCACCTGCAGCAGCAGCATCCCATATGAGCGCCAGTTCAAGTCCCAGCTCCCCCACTTCCAATCCAGCTCGCTGCCGATGGCCTGGGAAAGCAGCAGAAGATGGCCCAAGTACTGCCTCCTGGCTTCAGCCTGTCCCAGGCCTGGTCATTCCAGCCATTTGGGGAGTGAACTAAAGGATGGAAGATCTCTCTGTCTCTCACTCTCTCTATAACTCTGCTTTCAAATAAATAAAATATTTTTTTTAAATTAACAGTTTATTTAAGAAAAAGTTAAAAATAGGACTGTCATATGACCCAGAAATCCCACTACTGGATGTTAGTGAAGTGGTGCCATCTTATCTAAAAGCACCATCTGCAGTCCCAGACGCCATCTTAGGCTCTGGCCCAGCCACCACCCTGTATACTAAGTTTGGCCTCTCCAGAATCCAGCCTGGCTTACACGTAGTCAGGTGACCAAATGGTCCAACCACAAGCCTAGGCTCCACTCCCACCCTAATGGGATTCACTGTTCCCACTTCCTTACCCCCTGCAAGACTATAACAGGATCTGCTTCCCACACATGCACTCTCTTGACGTCTCTCTCTCTCTTTCTCTCTCGTCTCCCTTTCTGCCCTCTCTCGCTGTCTCCCTCCAGGCTGTTGGGTTTCCCCCTACCCAACAATAAACCTTTCCTGTAACTGCAGTGTTTGGTGTGTTTTGTGGTGGTCTTACACTGGGCATATATCTAACAGACATGGAATCATTCTAGCAAAGAGATACCTGCTCCACCATGTCTATCACAACACTGTTCATAATAGTCAAGATATAGAGTCAAATAAGATGTCCATCGTCAGATGAATGAGTAAAGAAAATGTGAGATGTACATACATACATACACACACACACACACACACAGGAATGCCATTCAGCCATAAACTGGAGAACATCATGTTAAGCAAAATAAGCCAGGGACAGAAAGACAAATACTATGCTTTCCTTAATATGTGTGAGCTAAATAACAAAAATGTACCCCTCAAAATGAACACAGAATATTGATTACTAGAGTCTGGGAAGGATGTGAGGAAAAGAGAGAGTCTGAATATAAAAATAAGGGAACTTGCATACGGTTCATTAATGTTGACAAATAGAATAATAAAAGACGTTATTAATAGGGGAAGCTTGGATAAGGGCTACTTGGGAACTCTGTAATATTTCACAATTTTTGTTTTGTAAATTTAAAACTTCAGTAAAAAATTGGCCGGCGCCGCGGCTCACTTGGCTAATCCTCTACCTGCGGTGCCGGCACCCTGGGTTCTAGTCCCAATTGGGGCGCCATATTCTGTGCCGGTTGCTCCTATTCCAGTTCAGCTCTCTGTTGTGGCCTGGGAAGGCAGTGGAGGATGGCCCAAGTGCTTGGGCCCCTGCACCTGCATGGGAGACCAGGAGGAAGCACCTGGCTTCTGGCTTTGGATTGGCACAGTGCACCGGTTGTAGCGTCATTTGGGGGGTGAACCAATGGGAAAAGGAAGACCTTTCTCTCTTTCTCTCTCACTGTCTAACTCTGCCTGTCAAAAAAACAAAAACAAAAACAAAAACAAAAACACTTCAGTGAAAAATTAACAACGAAGCAAAAAAGAATCCGAAATAAATCAACCAGAAACAGAAAAATATAGGATGAAAAATCAATAAAATCAAGAGGTATTTCTTTGAACAATAAACAAAACGACAAAGACCTGGCTAGACTAAGAAAAAAATGGAGAAAACAAAATCAGACACGAAACTGAAGCTATTAAAGCAGAGTTCTCAGAAATAAAAATGATTATAAGAGAATTACTAACAATTTTATGCCAACCAATTGGTTAATATAGAGCCAAAGGATAAATTCCTAGAAAAATATAATGTACCAAGACTGAATCAGAACAGACAAATAACAAATAAATGGAAGAGTTAGGTAACTTCCAACAACAACAAAAAAGTCCAGAGCAGGATTGTGTCATGTCTGAATTCTAGCAAACATTCAAAATAAGAATTATTATTAGTACTTGTTGAATTGTCCTCCCCACTCTCACAAAACAGGAAAAAAAACTAGAGAGAATATTTTTAAATACATTTTATGAGACTAGCATCTCCTAGATACCAAATTCAGACAAGGATATCACAAGGAAAGGAAAGTACAAAGATACAATAGTATCTTTGAAGAAAACTGATGCAAAAATCCTCAATAAAATATTATTAAACTAAATTCAACACACAGAAAGGACTATATACATCGTGAGCAAATGGGATTTATCTCTGACATACAAGGCTGGGTTAACAATCTCCAGTGAATGAATGTGATACTTCATGTTAACAAAATAAAAGATAAAAACACACAATCAACTCCACTGATGTAGAAAAAGCATTTGATAATGTTCGCCATTCTTTCTTAGCCAAAACTTTTAACAGTTTTGGTGCTGAAGGAAATATTCAAAACCTAATAAAGCCAGTTGATTGTAAAACCCATTACTGACATCATAATGGGGAACACATGAAAACTTTCCACTATGGTCAGGTGAAGGACAAGCTGCCCTCACCACATCTACTCAACACAGCATTAAGATCACTGGCAAGATAACAGGTAAGAAAAATAAGTAAAAGCATCCAAATAAAAAATGATAAGGTAAAATTACTTTATTTGTAGATGACCGAGCAAATATGTAGAAAAATACAAGTATTCTACAAAGTGACTCTTAGAACTAATACATAGGCACAGCGGTTGGGCACAGTGGTTATAACATCCCACACTGGAGGGCCTAGGTTGAAGTTCTGGTTCCTCCACTTCTGATCCAGCTTCTGGCTAATGCACACCCTGGGAGGCACCAGATGTTGGATCAAGAGCACTTGAGTACCTGTCACCCTCATGGAAGACCCAAATTGAATTCCAGGTTCCTGACTGCTGCCTGCTGCAGCCCCGGCAGTTGCAGGATTTGTGGAGTAAGCCAGAGGACTGAAGATCTCTTTCTGTATGCCTCTGTCTCTCTGACTTTCAAGTATAATGATAACAAATAAATAACAAATAATACAAGAATCCAATGAAATTGAGGAATACAAAATCAACATAAAAAGATCAGTAGCATTTCCACACGAATAACTATATGCAAGACAAAAAAATCAAGAAAATGGTCACATTTAAAATATCAAAAAAATTAAACATTTTAGGGTAAATTTAACCAATGAGATGAATGATTTGTACACTGAAAAGTATCTGCATATATCCTATAACATCATTTTGTAAACTTCAGATACAATTAAATTGATTAAAAATGTTTAAATAAAAATGAAATGCATTGTCAATATAATTATGTACATCAAAATGTTAGATTTCAATATTCAACAACAGATAAAAATAAAGGAGGAGGGGCCCGTGCTGTGGCATAGCAGGTAAAACCACTGTCTGCAGTGCGGGCATCCCAGGTGGGTGCAGGTGGTTGGAGTCCCAGCTGCTCCACTTCTGATCCAGCTCTCTGCTATGGCCTGGGAAAGCAGTAGAAGATGGCCTGAGTTCTTGTGCCTTTGCACCCACGTGGGAGACCCAGATGAAGCTCTTGGCTTCTGGCTTTGGATCGGCGCAGTTCTGGCCCTTACGGCCCTCTGGGAAGTGAACCAGTGGATGGAAGACCTCTCTCTCTCTCTCTCTCTCTGCCTTTGCCTCTGCATCTGCCTCTCTGTAACTCTGCCTTTTGAACAAATAGATAGATCTTTTTAACAAATAAAAATTAAAAAATAAAGTAGGGAAGGAAGTATAAAAGTAATAGCATTATATTATAAATCTATCAGTTAACTATACTGAATCTGTTCTCTTTGTATTAATAACAAATTAACATGAAAAAATAAGGTAAGAGAAAATTTTATAAATAAATCTTAAGAAGTCATTACATTTTGTTAAGTTTCAAACCTGTGAACAGATAAGGACACATTCCACTTTACAGAGTATTACTGACACTGGTTATATCAATTCCCATTTTATTTATAGTATTGGATAGGAATTTTTCTCTTAACTAATACATTTAAATAAATGCATTTCATAACAAGAACATAAATAATAGTTTTAAATTCTTTATAACAATTTTATCATAATATGTAATGCTAGCTTCTGCAATATAAGGGGTAGGAATTTTCAAAATTATCAAAATTCATCAGAATTATCAAATATTTGTTGACTGTGTATGAAGTACTTCTTATTCAAGTGATACAATCTTGCTGGCATTGTGGAGTCCTGGCTACAGCAAAATTCTCACTGAATATTTTGATCCTGTTTTGTTATGCCATCTTCTAAATGTACCAATTGTCTATAATTACAGCAAATCAATCATGAGGAGATGGTTTCTTCTGTCAATGTTGGCTCTGATGTGCTGCCAAAGTTTGTATCAGTCATATAAATCATGTTTTCATAAGCAGAGTTGAAATCTTAAATCAGAATTTCTTTTGCTTTTTGTATTCTAATGACATCTAGCCTTTAAAAATAATAATAAAATGAATGTTAGTTTCATGCAGATAAAACAACTGAACGTCACAGAGAAGACAGTTATCTATGGTCCAGTACTAACAGATAATCATTTATATTTTGCTACCAGCCCTTCTACTACTTTTTTTTTTTTTACAGAAATAGCATTCATACTCTTACAACGTGCACTTCATAACTTGGCTCTTTACTGTGAATACTTTTTCTTATCAGTAGACAAGTATTTTCTGTAACACTTCTAATGACTAAATACAATGCCATAGTAGGAATATACAAACTTTTTTATAATCTCTCGTTTCATTTTTAAATTTAAGTTGTCCCTTTTATAGATTTTACTGAAAGGAGCATCTTTTTATATTAAATTCTGGCCTCATGTTTAATTATCTACTTAGGACAGATCCTAAACTGCTAAGTCATACTGCACAAACATTTTAGAGCCCTAAGAAATGCATTTTCATATTTACCTTTCAAAGTAGATTTCAAGTTACTTCTCAACAATGTATAAAAGTGCTCAATATCCCACATTCTAGTCAGCCCTGAGAATCCTAAATCTTCTTATCTCTAACTATTTGATACCTGAAAATAGAATCTCATTGCTTCAATTTGCATTTTTGTTATTAATGATCTGTAACAATCATCACAATGATGGTCTGTGAGTCATTCATCTGTATGAACTGTCTTTTCCTGACTTGTACTTTCTAAAATATGTATTGCCTATCTTTTCCATATAGAATCTTTCCAATCATTCAACATTGTCTCTGACACATTTCCCTTTTTGTGATTTGTCCCTTATTCTGTGAATTTCATACTAGGGAGGTTTAGAAATTTCCATTTTAGTTCATCAAATTCTCCTTTGTTTACCTTTATAATTCTGTCTTTCATTCTATTCTTTCAAAGAAATTCCTGAACCCAAGATATGTATTTGTTCATATTTTTGGTGGTTCTTTTATAGTACCATTTGCATTGAATGTTAAAATTCACCTTGAATTTGCTAATCCTCTGCCTGCAGTGCCGGCACCCCAGGTTCTAGTCCCGGTTGGGGCACCGGATTCTGTTCCAGTCGCTCCTCTTCCAGTCCAGCTCTCTGCTGTGGCCCGGGAGTGCAGTGGAGGATGGTCCAAGTGCTTGGGCCATGCAACCGCATGGGAGACCAGGAGAAGCACCTGGTTCCTGGCTTCAGATCAGCGCCGTGCGCCGGCCACAGCGCGCTGACCGCAGCGGCCATTGGAGGGTGAACCAACGAAAAAGGAAGACCTTTCTCTCTGTCTCTCTCTCTCACTGTCCACTCTGCCTGTCAAAAAAAAAATTATTTTGTCAGACAAAAAAAGCTAGTGCTTTCTAAAATTTACATCATAGTTCATGTAAAAAATGTTATTTTTAAAGTACTCTGAATCTGCTCACTAGCAAATAAGGGTACCCAGTTTTCATTTTTTTCTCCCACTTATTAAAAATATTTTAACCATATACTAAAACTTCTGCTCATAAGTCATTTTTTCTAGTGTTTCTATTCTGTTTCATTGATCTGAGTGTCAATCCTGACATGTATCACACTGCTTTGTATTTCATAGCTTTTTAAACTGTTCAAATCTTTAGCAATGTGAGTTCCTTCTTTTAATTTTCTCTCCAAAATGCTAATTCTTACAGGTTTATCCTTTCAGATTAACTTTGGAAAGTGCTCAGGATTTGCAGGTCTAGGGAACCAAGATTGCAGCTGAGTAAGAGGCTATGGCAACTGGCCCCTCCCCCTGCCCCGAGATACCAAGTTAAACAACTATTCACACACTGAGTCATCGTCACAAGAGCTATAGAATCCAAGTGACAGTCGACTACAGAACCTTGTCTTGTTGTAACAATAAGAAAAGTCCCTTGAAGAAATCAAGAAGGGAAGAGTTGTGCACAGCACAGCTACTGCAGCTGCCAGGAGCACAGGCTGGTAGACAACTCCAGCTCGAGGGGGAAAGAGGACTGAATGCCAGTGCCAAGTCCACTGGAAAAAGTTCACACGGACTGAGCCCCTAGTGTCCCAGCTCCTAGGGCCCTAACTGTGCAGTGCGGCTGGCTGGTCTCTGCTCCCCATCACCCAGCTGCTGTCGGAAAGTGAAACTCTAGCCCCATGGAGAAGCTGGGAGAGAGAACAGGACTGGCCCTCAGAGCTCAGAGGCTGGCCTACTGTGCTGACCTGGCACCTGATAAAGCTTCCTTCAGTGTCCAGTGAAGTTGCATTGTTCTAGCTGAGCAGAGTTACACCCCAGCCAACATCACCACTGGATTTTGGGTGTGACTTCAGGCAATGAGTCCAACTAAGCTGCAGACAGACCTTAGCTTTGGTCCTACCCTCAGGCCACACTAGTGTTGTTGGCATGAGGGCTCTGGATGTGATTTAACAGTGAGGCAGTCATGGGCACGGACCCAGGAAGAGGCTTGTAGGAATGGATTATCCCCTTTGAGGCACTTCCCCAGTGCATATTGAACAACATATCAATTGCAGACCTGGAACAAATTTGAGTTTGGGGAAGATTGTAAGGTTGAATCAGTAAAAACATGTTGATAGCAGATTGGCACAAACCATGACTTTGGGTACTGTTTACTGCTTAAATAGCAGAAGCATACATAGACTCAAAGGAAACAGATCACTTAGAATTTCTAGAATAAGCAACCACAAACAAAGTCAGAGTACTTTAACTAGGCCTCCAATGCAGATGATCTTCTGCACTAACAAGCACCAAGAACTTCCAGGGACCATGGCCTTGCCTAAAATCAAAATGAAGTGCCAGAAGCCAGTTGTCTAGGAACTAAAATTTCCAAATGCTTGGATAAAACCTCTGAACAAATGAGGTATATAAGGAACACATTTAACATAAGACAGGTCATACATAACAAACCAACAGCTAACATCATACTGAATAAGGAAACTCTGGAAGGTTTCTAATATCTGAAATGAGGTGATGCTCACCTTAAGCACTTTCTTATTCAACATAGTAATGGAAGTAAGGCAAGATAAAGAAATAAATGGCATCCAAATTGAAAACAGGAAGTCAAACTGTCACTGTTGCAGAGGAGATGATCATAGGTGTAGAAAACCCCAGGACTCCACCAAAAAGCTGTCAGAACTAATAAATTCAACGAAGTTGGAGAATACAAAGTCAATGTACAAAAATCAGTAGCATTGTCATAGCAGATAGTGAATCTTCTAAGAAATCAAAACAGCAATATCATTTTCAATAGGTACCTCCCCCAAAAACCAAATACCTGGGAATAAATTTAATCAGAGGTAAGTAATTTCTACAATGAAAACTATAAATCACTGATATAAGAAATTAAAGAGGGGGCTGGCACCGTGGCTCACTTGGTTAATCCTCTGCCTGCGGCACCAACATCCCATATGGGCGCCGGGTTCTAGTCCCGGTTGCTCCTCTTCCAGTCCAGCTCTCTGCTGTGGCCCAGGAGGGCAGCAGAGGATGGCCCAAGTGCTTGGGCCCCTGCACCCGCATGGGAGACCAGGAGGAAGCACCTGGCTCCTGGCTTCAGATCGGCGCAGCACGCCGGCTGTAGTGGCCATTTGGGTGGTGAACCAACAGAAGGAAGACCTTTCTCTCTGTCTCTCTCTCTCACTGTCTAACTCTGTATGTCAAATTAAAAAAAAAAAAAAAAGAAATTTAAGAGGACACCAAGAAATGTAAAATGGCCCTTGTTAATGGATTCGGATGACCAAATATCACTACTTGTACATATTACTCAAAGCAATTTAGAGATTCAATGCAGTCCCTCTCAAAATCCCAATGATTTTTTTTTCTAAAACTAGAAAAAAACACTGCTAAAATTTGTAGGGAACCACGATGTGTCCTGAAAAGCCAAAGTGATCTTAAACAAAAAGAACAAAACAGAAGGCTTAAAATATTTTACAAAGTTACGGTATGTAAAACAGCATGGTATTGGCATCCAAACAGACCCCTAGACCAATGGAACAGATTAAAGACCCCAGAACTAATCTCACACATCTACAGTCGATTGATATTTAACAAACTGCTAAGAACATCCATTTACAAAAAGATAATATTCTTAAAAAATGGTGCTGAGAGGGCTGGCGCTATAATGCAGCAAGTTAAGCCCCCGCTTGCAAGCTGGCATCCCATATCGGAGTGCCAGTTCAAGTCCCACCTACTTCACTTCTGATCCAGCTTCTAGACCTTTTACTTTTTAAAAATATGTTTGTATAAAGGGCATTTTGTTGAAAGAATCACAGAATAGTTTCTTCTTATCTCAAGTTGATTTTAGCTGTTAGATCTAAAAACGTTATAAAGATGTATTCTTACACAACAAAAGGTATAAAGGCTGAAATATTCTGTGTGGTTCCTTTAGAACTTACAGAAATTTAGATATTTGGTGAATTTCTTTGCTTGTTAAATTTCCTTTTATTATTTCCATACTAAATAATCATTTTATCAACAGTGTTTGTGACAGCAATGGAGAGATACAGTTAAAGCCAGATGGGTTACCCTTGTAAGCAAACATTTTCGTACAGTATTATAAAAAGTCAAAGAATTGGGGGAAGGCATTTGATACAGTGGTAAAGACATCACTGGAGATAGTGCATCCCATGTGGTGTTCTGGTTTAAGTCTTGGATCCATTTCCAATTATAGTTCCTACTAACATACACCCTAGAAAAACAACAATAGATGGCTGAAGTAGTTGGTTCTCTGTCATCCACATGGGAGACCTAGATGAAGTTCTGGGCTCCTGGTATCAGGCTGGACTAGCCGTGGCTGATTCAGACATTTGGGGGGTGGAACAGTAGATGAAAGTCTCTCTCTCTCTCTCTCTCATTCTCTCTCTTTCTCTCTCTCTCTCTGTGTGTGCCTTTTAAATAAAATGAAAAAGAAAAGTTTAAAAAATCAAAGATTTTAATGAACATTTCAGAACATTGAACCACATCCACAAATCAGAAATCAAATGATGCAAGTTACTTGTTCTTCCAAAATTGTAATTATATAAGAGGCAGAGAATTGAGAAGGTTGTGAAACAACACGACTACATTGCAGAGGATTGAATTTTCTCTAGGCATAAAGACAATATGTTTTGGAGCAGGGCATAGAATTCAACAGATCTATGATTTTCTCAGGACTAGACTAAACATATTTTTTAAAAAAGATTTATCTAGGCCGGCGCCGCGGCTCACTAGGCTAATCCTCCGCCTAGCGGCGCCGGCACACCGGGTTCTAGTCCCGGTCGGGGTGCCGGATTCTGTCCCGGTTGCCCCTCTTCCAGGCCAGCCCTCTGCTGTGGCCAGGGAGTGCAGTGGAGGATGGCCCAGGTGCTTGGGCCCTGCACCCCATGGGAGACCAGGAAAAGCACCTGGCTCCTGGCTCCTGCCATCGGATCAGCGCGGTGCGCCGGCCGCAGCGCGCCGGCCACGGCGGCCATTGGAGGGTGAACCAACGGCAAAGGAAGACCTTTCTCTCTGTCTCTCTCTCACTGTCCACTCTGCCTGTCAAAAAAAAAAAAAAAAAAAAAAAAAAAGATTTATCTATTTATTTGAAAGGCAGAGTTACAGAGAGGCAGAGGTAGAGAGAGAGAGGTCTTCAGTCCACTGGTTCACTCCCCAGATGGCCACAACAGCCAGAGCTGCGCTGATCAGAAACCAGGAACCATGAGCTTCTTCTGGGTCTCCCATGCAGGTGCAGGGGCCCAAGGACTTGGACCATCTTCAACTGCTTTCCCAGGCCATAGCAGAGAGCTGGATCGCAAGTGGAGCAGCCGGTACTCAAACCACGCCCATATGGGATGCTGGCACTGCAGGAGGCGGCTTTACCGGCTATGATACAGCACCGGTGCCACGGACTAAAAGGATTGTTACACCAGCTACTTCAGGTGCATGAAAACTGCCCTAAGGTTTTACTGCATTCCTAGTTAATATACTAAACAAGGTCTCTAATTTGAGAAGCCCCTTTTCAGTGACTCATTTGTCTGTCTTTAAATAAAATTGACAAGAAAGATCAGCACAGTTCATTTGCCCAACTCTGATCTGCCCTGATGAGTCATGTGACACGATTGAGTGTTGCCAGATATATAAGCTGTCACTCCCTCCTGAAATTTTCATGGGGACAAGATTACAGAAATGTGGCCTGTTCAAACCCAAAGAAGTTTTCAGTAGACATGAGGGTTGGCATCAATAATTCACCAGAAAGACTCACTTACAGCATTCCATTGATACTGCAGGGTTCATTTGCATATTAAAAGAGGCAAGTCCCTTTTGTGGTTAAAGTAGTCTCCTTTGGCAGGGGCTTCCTTCACCAACCTTAGAACCTCCTAAAAGATTTAGAAGCTTAGCTCCCTTCCATTCCTTTGAGTAGAGATGAATCTCTTAAATGGAATAGGGACGTCAGCTTCAACACTGAATTGAAGTCCTCATTAAAATTTGCAAAGGGTGTTCATAACAAGCAGAAAGTTCTAATAATCCATTTTTAATACTTAAAAAAAAACACTGGCTAGCCCCCACATTTATTCTGACATTCCCCTAAATTGATGCCAAAACTACTCCTCCTTTGTTGGTTAATGTGCCCAGATGGCCCATGCTCATGAATATTTTGACATTTAAAGACAGATATCTAAGCTTGCTGCAGGAGTCCTGCACAAAGGCTACACTGGTGATAAACCATCCACTCCACACACGCATCCTTCTTTGCGATGAGAAAAATTTGACCCAACAAGTTCCAATTTTAGGAATTAACTTTAGTATATTCACACTCATGCAAAATGCATTTGAATGATGGTACTGATTGGAGAATTACTTGTAATACTGGAAAACTTATACACAACCTAAATATATATCTAGGTATGTATTGTTAAATATATATCTATTGGTAGTTAGAATAAATATTTATAGCATCTAAGAAGGGTAAGGCAGGCTCACGTGTAAAAGTTCATATGGGACAAATTTAGTGACAAAACCTGATGCAGAAAATATGAAAAATACAATTGCAGGGGCCAGCACTGTGGCACAGTGGGTAAAGCCGCCATGTACAGTGCTGGTATCTCATATGGGCATTGGTTTGAGTCCCAGCTGCTCCACTTCTGATCCAGCTCTCTCCTATAGCTTGGGAAAGCAGTAGAAGATGGCCCAAGTCCTTGGGCCCCTGCACCCACATGGGAGACCTGAAGAAGCTCCTGATTCCTGACTTTGGATCAGCCCAGCTCTGGCTGTTGTAGCCATTTAGGGAGTAAACCAGTGGATTGAAGACCTCCCTCTCTCTCTATCTCTCTTTGGCTCTATATTTCTCTGTAACTCTGTCTCTTAAATAAATAAAATAAATCTTTAATATATATATATATATAAAAACTGTGTTTTCACATATAGACTAACTACAGAGATACATAAGAAACGAGAAGTGGCTTCATATAGGAATAAAATTTAAAGGTATTTTAATTTATATTATGCACAGATTTTATCCAAACCAAAAAAAAAAACAAAAAAAGATCATTAATAAGAGAATTCAAGAGAGAAGAAAGAAAGGGAAGGAAAAATAGAAGAAGAATCAAAGAAAAAGAAACAATTCTTTGTATATGGGAAATTCAATACAATGGGCAAAATGCTTACTATGTGAAAGGCACAATGTCTTTATTGGTAAGTATTCTTTTGTTTTTATAGTGTTTTAGAGTTTAAAAGCATTTTTCCAAGTTGTTCCCAAGAGAAATATGAGTATATATCAAAATGTGGACCCACGATGACTCATTGTCACTTTGTCATTTCATCCTTTTTAATATTTTTATTTCCTACTCTTTGTAAAATGATCATAAGACTTCTTCCCTTTTCAAATCAAATGTAAGGTTGAATGATAAGCCTCAAAGTTACTGGACTTCTTAAAGCAAATATGCTTCATCATTCTAAAAACCATTTCCTTAACTAGGATTTTTTTTATAAAAAAAACATACTTTAAAGTTTGTCCTTCTATTTCAAAGAATTAATTTCTTAAGCCATTTCATCCTCTTGTATTTTCTCTGATACAAGTTAACATATTTAGATAATTTTGTTCCCGTTCGAGGTTTTGTTGACAGACTACAGAAATAGCATTTATTTGGCTGTCAATGTGGTGAGTTATTTAACATTTTGACTACTGCTGATCTAATCTGGGTAACTGATGTGTGACTGAAAGGCGCTCACTGAGTTACCCTGGGCACTCTTATGCTTCCACTGACTTTCCTTTCATGTTCCCACCAAACCACATTCTCACTCACTCACACTGTTGTTCTGCTGAGGCAAGAAGCTGCTGTCAACTCAAATTAGATTCTGTTTCTCACTACAAGTATATTGAAGAATGTGCTTCCATAATAAAATGTAGCCTGAAAGGTCAACCAACAGTCTTTGGTTTCCTCCTCCTAGATTCTAAATTAATACTTCAGCTTGTGAACCTCCTCTTGAACATTTGTTTGCAAGGTAGCATAACCTTCTGATAATCCACCTATCTGGCTCCCTTGTCCTTTGGTGGCTTTACTTAGCATGGATTATATTCTGGGTATCTGAAATCTTTGCTGCTCTAAAATTAATTCATCAAGGTCAGTGTGTCTCTTTGCAGTACCTCCTCAGATATTTCTCTTATTTAGAGTACGTGAGGCTAGCCTCCTTTACCTTGGTTAATAAATAAGGCTCTACTGTTGAGTGGTTCTTACTACACTTCTATAATGTTAGTACCACAGAAGTGCAGAGAAGCTCTTCAACATATTGACTTAAAAGAGGTAACCAAAACCTAGGTAAGTTTCCTAATAATTGAATCTCAACAGACCTTTATAAGAACCTATTATGCAGTTTATAATATAGTTGCAGAAATGAGACATAGACATTGGAATAGGTTATAGAAGGCAACAATTCTCCCACTGAGATAAACAAGGGGGATTTCCTCAACAATTTAAATTGTGTCTTAAGGGTAGGTAGCATTTAGTCAAATGAAATGAGGGAAGATACACTACTACTGAAGGTGAAAAAGGTATAAGCTAAAGAATAAAAGCAAACATGAAGTACAAATTGGGTTTGAGTTGCAGTGAATATACACATTGGCTTGGATGGAGGTGTTTGGAACTTGGAACTTACAAGGATTGCCATGCCCAGAGACCTTTTCTCACTGAAACTGCACAGCCCACAGCCTTACACTATGGAAAGAAGCCCTAAGCCTGATTGATTGACTGACTGATTTTTGTAGAGCAAGTGATCCTAAAGCAACTCCATCAATTATGACTCTAGTGTCCTGGTATGATGGCTTCTGACCAGATAAGGTAAGAGTAGTTAGGTAAATTGCTTATACCAGCTCCGTTTGGAATTTGAAAGCTGACTACATGATAGCAAAGGGGAGAAAAGAAAACAGGACAGAGAGATCTCACAAAATGCAACCATTGGCCGGCGCCGTGGCTCAATAGGCTAATCCTCCACCTTGCGGCGCCGGCACACCGGGTTCTAGTCCCGGTCGGGGCGCCGGATTCTGTCCCGGTTGCCCCTCTTCCAGGCCAGCTCTCTGCTATGGCCAGGGAGTGCAGTGGAGGATGGCCCAGGTGCTTGGGCCCTGCACCCCATGGGAGACCAGGAAAAGCACCTGGCTCCTGGCTCCTGCCATCGGATCAGCACGGTGCGCCGGCTGCAGCGGCGGCCATTGGAGGGTGAACCAACGGCAAAGGAAGACCTTTCTCTCTCTGTCTCTCTCTCTCACTGTCCACTCTGCCTGTCAAAAATTAAAAAAAAAAAAAATGCAACCATTATCCACTCCCCTTACATCCACATGAGGCTAACAACCCCAGGAATTTGCACAACACAGGTAAATTGAAGTTTATGTAGCAGTGTCCCACATGTCTTCCATTTCCAAAGATCCCAAATGAATACAGTGGGTATTGAATGTCACCGGATCTTTTTTTTTAACCTGGCCCACCTAGATACTTACGGATTTATGAAGAAACTAACAGTCACTTGCATGATGAATATACAATATGATGGCCAAAGTACTCTTGTTTGAGTACCCAGATAGTTTGGGTATCACAAAAAGGAAACTGAGATTTTTTTTTCCTTCCTAAGACGCTGAGCAGCAGGAAAAATTACCTATGGGATCTTGTGTGGAACCAGAGGAACTGTTCCTAGTACATACAGCATGTACGAATACAATGGCTGTGGGCCACATTTGGGTAGAGGAAGAACATTGTAGGGACAGTATTTTTTTCTTTGCAAAAGAGGAAAGAGACAGCCATATGGATAAGATTTCATCAGTGATAGATTTTTAAGTCATTTGTTACTTGGAATTCTGTAAAATAAAATAACAGTAACAATATCTAAAGACAACAACAGCAATGTCTAAAGCACACATCTGAGCAAATTGGCAATCACCAAACTAGCACTCACTCTCTGTCCATTAATGAGAGGAACATTCAGGCCCCTGGAATCCAGGAAGCTCAGGGATGGAGAGAATGTCCTTTGCAGCCATTCTAAGAACAAAGAGAACTAGACTGAGGATAACTGAGGGAGGTGAGAACATGAAAGCAGCAAGTTCACAGTCTCACCTAATACACCCCAGTATCACATAGGACCTTCTTTCTTTCCAGACCTCCCAATGTTATTCCAGTCATGACTGCCCTATTTCCTATTAATTTACCACTCAGCTGCAACCAGAGAGTTTCTATAACCATGATGAATATATCCTTCTCTTTTTACATTCCAACTTTGTGATAGCCATACAACCACAACTGTAAAAAAAAAAAAAAAAAAGGTATCTTCCTTCCCCTTTTTACATTCTCATTAACAAAAGCTAACTGCTAATCTTGTAACTAATCAGACAAGGAAGGCATTTGAGACCAATAGCCCAAACAGCCAAGCTTCTTATCAAGGAGACCTCCACGTAGTTAACCAGAACAAACCCTGGTAATCCTCCTGGCAATCAATCAACTAGAATTCATTATCTTCCCTAATTCCCCTCAACTCCCCTTTCTCCTATAAAAGTCCTCCTGCTAACTTGCAAATTGGGAAAAGCATTTTTGAGACTGAACACGCCTGTTCTGCTGTCTTCTTGAATAAACTTGTTCCCTTGCATCAGCTCTCACCTCTGGAGACTGGCCATAGCAGACGTAAACTTCTGGTCTCTCATACCTTATCTATCTCACATGCTCCACTTTTCTTTTTTCTTCTTCTAATTTTTAATAATAAAATCTTAAGATACCTGCTTTATTCCTAAACCTTTTTTGGTATTCTATATTAACTATCACATACCAGAAAAAAAAAATGTTATTTGTCTTTTGGGGATTGGTTTATTTCACTAAGCATAACAGTCTCCAGTTGCAAACATTTTATTTCAAAAGACAGGATTTCATTCCTTTTTAATGGTTGTGTAGAATTCCACAGTGTGTGTACATGCCACATTTTCTTTATCCAGTCATCAGTTGATGGCCATCTGGGTTGATTCCACATCTTACCTATTGTGAATCAACGTTATAAACATGGAGGTACAGATAACTCTTTCAAATGCTGAGTTCATTTCCTTTGGGTAAACTTCCAGGAGTGGGCTGGCTGGGACATATGGAAGATATATTTTCACATTTCTGAGGAATCTCTGTACTGTCTTCCATTATGACTGTACCAGTTTAGGTTCCCACAAACAGTATATTAGGGTACTTTTCTCTATGTTCTCACCAGCATTTATAATTTCTTTTTTTGGATGATAGCCATTCTAACTGGAGTAATGTGAAACTTCACTGAGGTTTTCATTTGTATTTCCTTGATATCTAGTGATTCTGAGTATTTTTTCATGTGTCTGTTGGCCATTTATATTTCATTATTTGAAAAATGCCTGTATATGTCCTTTACCCATTTCTGAACTGGATTATTTGTTTTGTTGCAGTTGAGTTTCTTGGATAGACAAGTACACCAATGGAACAGAACAGAAAATCCAGAAATTAATCCACACATCTAAAACCAACTAATCTTTGAGAAACAAGCTAAAATCACTCCCTGTAGGAAGGAGTTTCTACAACAAATGGTTATGGGAAAACTGGACCTCCACATACAGAAGTATGAAACAAGACCACTACATTATACCTTAAACAAAATTCATCTCACAATAGTTCAAGGATCTAAATATAATACCTGATATCATCAACTTACTAGAGGAAAATATTGGGGAAACTCTGCAAGACATTGGTATAAGCAAAGATTTCTTGGATGGGATCCCAGAAGCACAGGCAATAAAAGCAAAAAATAGACAAATAGGATTACAACAAGCTAAGAAACTTCTGTGCAGCAAAGGAAACAGCAAAGTGAAGATGCTCTATTTTCCAACTGCACACACTTACAATGCTCCCCGCCCATCCATGTCTATAAAATATTCAGCACGATAGCTTTCATTCATTATTTGCCTATACAGTAATTTGTTTTACAAGGTGAGTCATTTTTCCTCTTCCTTCTTAATTTCTGAGAAGTATACATTTACAAACATAGAGGATGATGATCATGATGATAACTTGGATGAATAATAATAATGACTTACATTTAGGCAGATGTTCATAATATGTACAGCAATTACATACAGGCATTATCACATTATTTTTAGTATTTCATTAGAAGAAACTGTATCCTAAACTCTTTTCTTCCCCATATCCTTCTATATTTAACAGTGTTTTCTACACAGAGTAAAAGAAAGCTTGATAGATAAGCTGATTTTTCATTACATGGCTTTAGAAAATAATTTCTCTGTGAGTTTTTCTGTTTTCTTACCTTACAAGTTGGGATGATGAATAATTTTCCACTCATGGCCCTCTACCAGGAGAGCATTGAGGATTAATGATAGAAATATAAAAGGGCTCTTGTTACAAGGTCACCTAGAGAAAAGTGGAAATCCAGAGAATCATGGCCTACAGGGACTCGTACAGCACAACCTTCAATTCCTTCCCAATTTCCACCTCAGATTTACTGATAGGAAAGACATGCAGCAAAAGGAAAATAATATCCAAGAGTCCTGCAGGTTTTTTTTCCTAAAAATCAACATAGGCACTGGCCAACAGGTACACTGACCAGCAGCTTTGGAAGAAATAGCTCTCAATAGCATATTATTAACTCTGCATACAATTTAGAACCCTTGAGGCAAGTTCCAAATAAATGCTTATCATTTCCTCAAGCATTAGAACCTATCGTCTTGGAGAAAGCTCTAAGAAAAGAACATTGGAGTTTTGCATTACTGCATCAGCACTCTGAGATTAATGTTTCTTCCATTTTCATATTTATTCAGAAATAATAAATTTCTTCTACTGTGATATTCTAAATTACTGATTTATTTCTCTTAATTCTGCAAAACATTTTTTACCATTTTGGAAAAAGAAGCAATGTGCAGAATTCCAATTTCTACCCCCCTGGAATTTCTAAAGCATTCTGTCCTTTTTGTGCTTTATACTTTTTCATAAACTACTGAGTTTTGAGGGCATGCAACTAAAGCTATGGTATGTTTAAATAACCATAGCGGATGCTTATTATGAGGGAGACAAGTCAATAAATGTGGTAGGAAAAAAAGGAAAAAAGAGGGAAAGGTAATCAACATACAACAAGCACACAAATGGAGGTTGAGTAGATGCAAGATATTTTACCTATAATTATTTACAGATTACAACACTTTTGAAAAATTTGAGATTAGGTAACATGCACATACTCTTCATCTATATTTACTGACTGCTAACATTCTCTCTCTCTCTCTCTCTCTCTCTCTGTGTCTGTATTTCTCATTTTAAAGTTGTAGACTTTGTGATATTTAACCTCTATGTATTTCAGCATGCATCTCCTGCAAACAATAATGATATTCCATAAACGTCTATATTTTTGGTTATGTGAAGTTTGATTGCTTAGATGAAGTAAGATCTGCCTAATTTCTCAACTGAAAAGACATTTTTTTCTCTTATAATTCAAAAGCTGAAACTATGGACAATGAAGGCTCCCTCTCTCTTTGCTTAACAGCAAGCTTCCCTTAGTTGCCTAACATACTAACAGTCCATAACAGCCATTTACCTGACTGCTGCAGAGTAACTTGCCATCCCCTAATTGTTGTTTTAGCTAAAAACCTATGGGGTCATCTTTTTAGGTTCCCTGTTAAAACTGGATGGAACAAGTTGCGGTTAGAATTGACTGGACTCCGTAGAGCAACTCAGGCTGATGGAGGGAGTCACCTTATGGCTCATTCGTATATTAAATGGCACATCTACAATGTTTCAGCAGTCATCTTTGGGCACACGATGCATGTAAAAGCAAGACTTCTCAATGCTCATACTCAAATGACTTTCCCCACTCGGATCCTCTGCCTCTATTGTGTTCTGTCACTTGGTTTACACCCAGTTACACCCTCTATACCTTAACTCCATAAATTCCCATACCCCTCCCTGAACAGGAAGATGGTTTAAGGCTTGTTATTGTCTCTCTCCACATCTCCTTACAGTCTTATAATAAATCTTCCCTTTCTCAGAAGATTCAGCATCTGGTGTTTGTTTAATTTATGGTTGCAGGTGAGTAGGGTGGACTTGTTGCTTGGCAACAAAGTAATATGCTAGTGTGTGCAACTTTGAGATTATCCCTTTCTTCAACGTTATTTCCCAGCAGTCATTGGTGATCTTGAACTGATTATTACCCGGCAGTTAAGAAAATACCATGCACATTTTACTGATGAGGACGCTTGGGCTCTGAGTTGTACTTTCTCCAAATTAACCGGCTAGTATATGGATGGGTCAGGCTTTGAGCCTTGTCGGGGCCTCTGATGTGTTCTTTTGTCACAATCTAGAGAAAATCCATTGCCTTTCTTAAGATTGTTTCTCCCTCTAGGACTATATTCTCATGAATACTCCCTGATTTATCTGTCCTTTCTGTTCTGCACTAACAAATGCTAAACTCAGGTTCGTTCCTTGATTTCCATCAATAAAATAATCTGTGTAAGTAGAAGGCAGTACTGAAGGCCTTTAGAGATGTTAAAGGAAAGAAAAGGAATTTTGCCCCTTCACAATTATAACTGAATATTAAACATTTCTGTTGCTAAAAGCCATTTATCACGGTTAGTGCTGTGGTGCAGCCAGTGAAGCCACTGCTTGTGATGCCTGCATCCCTTATTGAGCGTCAGTTCAAGACTTAGCCGTGTTGCTTCCTGTCCAACTTCTTGTTAATGTGCCTGGGAAGGCAGCAAAGATGGCCAAAGTACTTGGGCCCTTGTCACCCATAAAGGAGATCTGGACAGAGTTCCTGACTCCTGGCTTCAGCCTGGCCTGGCCCAGTCCGGGTTGTTGCAACTATTTGAATAGTAAAATGATCTCTCCCTTGCTCACTCATTCTCACTCTCTTGCACAGCTTTTTGGATATATAAGCAAGAAGATCTCTTTACAATTTGAATAAAGCTCTATTTACTTGAAAGGCAGAGTTATATAGAGAGAGGAAAAGACAGAGGAGAGAGAGAGAGAGAGAGAGAGAGAGAGAGAGAGAAACTTCCATCTGCTGCTTTGCTTCCCAAATGGCAGTAATGGTCAGGAATAGCGAGGCTGCAGCTAGGAGCCAAGAGTTTCTTCTGGGTCTTCCACATGGGTGTCAGGGGTCCAAGCACTTGTATCATTTGCCATCTTCACAGGCCATTAGCAGGGAGCTGGATTGTAAATGGAGCAGCTAGCTGAGGCTTGAACCTCACCCATATGGGATGCCAGCATCACAAACTGCTGCTTAACCCACTGTGCCACAGTGTCGGCCCCAGATTTTTTTTTTCTGAAAAGTCATTTGTTTAGCCCCCATATATTCTGCTGCACTCATCCCAGCTTCTCTATAGTCTTCCTCTATAGAACAAAAACATTACATTTCTTGAATATTGAGTGGGAAAATTCAGCACACACAACCCTCAGAGTAGTCAGTCACGCCTCCCTTTACAGATCTAGACTCAGCCAAAGTTTTAAAACAATGGCAAGGATATGATTAAGCCTTTACTTTTTAAAGAAATATTTTTACATCAAAATTTTGTGGAGCACATCATAAAATTAGATCTATATTTTTTAAAAAAAATTTTTTTCATTAACATAAAGAGAAGAGATTTCATGCATTCCATAGGGCAGTTCTAAGCAGACAACCACACTTCCCGACACCCCCCTCCCCCAGCCATCCCCTTCTCTCTCCCTCCTCTCTTCATCAGTTTTCGCAAAAACAAAATTTTAATCCAATCTATATTCACAGGTGTAATTTGCCACTAATCAAAATATCCAACAAGTAATAAGTAGGAAACCACAGTTCCACAGGAGTATAAACAAGGGCCAAAACCAACCATCATATACCAAAATGTCCATTTCATTTCTATACATTTTTTGTATTCTATAACTGTCACAAATCTGAGAAAACATATATTTGTCTGTTTGAGACTGGCTTATTTTACTAAGCAAAATGGTTTCCTATTGCACCCATTTCATTACCAGAGACAGGATTTCATTCTTTTTTATGGTAGTATCCAACAGTGTATAGATACCACATTTTCTTTATCCAGTCATCAATTTATGTACATCTGGGTTGATTCCATGCCTTAGCTATGAACTAAGCTGCAAGGTAACTCTTTCATATGCTGATTTCATATTCTTTCAATAAATTCCCAAGAGCAGGATGGCTGGTTCAAATGGTAGATCTATTTTCACATTCCGGAGGAATCTCCACATCATCTTCCATAATGATTCTAACATACACTCACACCAACAGCATATTTGGGTACCTTTTCCCCCACATCCTTGCCAGCATTTATTGTTTTTGATTTTTGGGTGATAGTCCTTCTAACTGAGGTGAGGTAGAACCCCATTGGGGTTTTGATATGCATTTCCCTGATAGCTAACGATACCGAGAATTTTTTAATGTGTCTGTTGATAATTTGTGTCTAAAAAATGAATGTTCTTGTCCTTTGCCCATTTCTTAACTGGGATGTTTATTTTGTTTTGGTTTAGATTCTCAAGCTCTTTATAGATCTTGGATATTACTTCTTTATCAGTTGTACAGTTCACAAATATTTTATCCCATCCTTCCAGTTTCCTCTTCACTTTGCTGAGTATTTCCTTTGTAGTGCAAAAGATCCTTGGCGTGATGTAATCTCATTTGTCTTTTTTTGTCTTTTGATTACCTATGCTTCAGGAGTCTTTTCCAAGAAATCTTTGCCTACACCAATGTCTTGCAGAGGTTTCCCAATGTCCTCCTCTAGTAATCTGATGATATCAAGCTATATAGTTACATCCTTGATCCAATGTGAATTGATTTTTGTAGAAACTGTAAGGTAGAGGCCTTGTTTCATGTTTCTGCAAGCAGTGATCCCATTTTCCCAGCACTATTTATTGAAGAAATTCTCCTTTCTCTTGGGATTGATTTCAGCTTGTTTGTCAAAGATTAGTTGGTTGTAGATGTGTGGATTAACTTATGGGATTTCTGTTTAGTTTCATTGGCCTACATGTCTCTTTTTGTACAAGTACAAGGTTGTCTTGATCATAACTGCCCTGTAGTATGTTTTGAAGTCCGGTATTCGGATGCCTCCAGCTTTGTTTTCATTGTTTAAGATTGCTTTAGCAATTTCTTGTGCTTCCAAATGAATTTAAACATCTTTTTTCCTAGATCTGAGAAGAATATTGTTGGTATTTTGATTGGGATCACATTGAATCTTCAAATTACTTACAATAATATTGAATTATGGAATTTTGATATCAATTCTTCCAATTAACAAACATGGAAGATTTTTTTTTATTTTCCTGTGTTTTCTCTCTCTCTCTCTTTCTCTCTTTTTGACAGGCAGGGTTAGACAGTGAGAGAGAGAGAGAGACAGAAAGAAAGGTCTTCATTTTTCCGTTGGTTCACCCCCCAAATGGCCACCACAGCTGGCGCTGCACTGATCCGAAGACAGGAGCCAGGTGCTTCCTCCTGGTCTCCCATGCGGGTGCAGGGGCCCAAGCACTTGGGCCATCCTCCACTGCCCTCCCGGGCCACAGCAGAGAGCTGGACTGGAAGAGGAGCAACCGGGACCAGAATCCGGAGTGCCGGTGCCACAGGCGGAGGATTAGCCTAGTGGGCCACAGCGCTGGCCTTCTCTCTCTTTTTTTAATGTTTTGTGATTTCATTGTAGAGATATTTCACATTTTTGGTTAAATTTATACAAAGGTATTTAAAAATGTTCTGGCTTTTGTGAATGGGATTGATCTTACAAGTTCTTTCTCAGTCATAGTACTGTTTCTGTATATAGAGATTATTGATTTTTGCATGTTGATTTTATATCCTGCAACTTTACCAAAATCTTTTACCGTTTCTAATAGTCTCTAAGTAGAGTCTTTTTGTTCCCCCATAAATAGAATCATGTCATCTGCAAACAGTTGAAGAAGATGGAATCCTAGTATATAACATCCCAGATCAGGCCTATGAAAACCAATCATTTTGCCTTTTAGGCCATATAGTAAATTCAGAATTAAGCTTTTTGTGTCTTTGAGTTTCCAGAAGGTAAAACACTAACTGAAATCATTCACCAGGAGTGGTAGAGGCTATCATTCTCATTAAGGATGCTATCTAGGTATCTTGGTTTTCAGATTTACTTCAAGTGAATTGAGACTACATATGGAGTTATTCCTTTTTATGAAAACTAATTAGGCTTGCATTATAAAAAAATTAGACAAAAGGTAACTTTTATAAAAATATTATTAAAATAATATAGATAACTGAGAAGTAGACTCAAACTAAATGAATTATTTTCTGCCATTGAAAGACTCAAGATAGGTTCTTATAAAGAAAGAGACATCAAATATCCCCATGGCAGACCTAAACCTTATTCAACATAAATGGCATAAAGGCCATTGAAAAGGGGAGGAGAAATTTAATGGTTGCTATGCTCTTATGTTTTTAAAAGAGTTTGTGGGGTCATTTTAAGCAAATATTTTTCTCTATCACAAAGACATTGATTCAGAAAAAAAGCAGTATTTTAGGCAACACCTATGCGTGCCTTAAAATTTCTATGCACTTCTAAAGAAACAGTTGAGTGCCAATTTTAAATATATTTTATTCAAGTGATATAGCCAAAATGTTCCCACAATAGGAGTTATTCTTAAAACAACCAACATTTTCACCAGGCAGCCACTCATTCTAGATTTTTCATTTTATGTCATCCAGCTTTTGGACATCAGACTGAGGTACATAGTTCATTTCACACACAACTTTCACTGCTCTGAAACTGAGCAGCAGTGTTGATGCCTATATTCTGCTTTGGGATGGAAGTACAATATGGAAGATTTTCCAACAGGTTTCTGTTTCAGGTAGTCACAGGAAACTAAACACAGTTCATGAAAATGGACAAGACCTCTGTCTCTGCATAGCCCTGAAAGAAGGCACCTCGAGATGACTCCATTGTGGCCTCATTGAAGTCTGCCCACCTCTCCTTCCCTACTTGTTTCCATGTCTGTAACCTACTTTTGAAAGAATTCCCTCATCTGTGAAATGAAAAATGCCCACAATACCAGTACAGCAGTGCCATGGTTAATAAGCTTTGTCCACCACTGTGCCACTTTGCTGTCACCATCTCCAGAGAAACATCTCCAATGAATAGGGGTGAAAAGGAAATGTAGGGCATTGGTCCTCTGAAGGTCCTTTCTCTTCTGTCAGGATCAAGATCACTATTTCTCTCCCCAGTGCCCTTCTTTTCTTCACTGTTACAAGTTCTTGTGGACAAACACACTCCATTTTTACCAATTTGCAGCTTTCAGAAATTATATGGATATAGCAAACAAGTCAAAGAGGGTCAGTCCAGATTCAGCTACAAGGTTGACATTGAATGATTAGGGAGAAGATGTAAAGAAGTGTTTGTAGTTTTCTGAAATGGAAATTTTAAAAAAGGAAGTGAGAACAGGCAGAATTAGCAGAAAGCTATAGTGATAATAGTATGCTGTTGGCAATAAAATTCAAATGGTTCTAGGGAACTGTAGGTAAGCCATTTTTTATTCTTAAGAAATGTTCTATTTTTATGTCTTCTCAAGAATAGAAAATAGAAAGAAATTGTGAAGATTTACAAAAAAAATTAGAAGAATCCATTAGCCCAATAAAAAAGATCCAATTTCTCTGAATGCACTTAGTCATCAAATGATGATTTCTACGGAATAAAAAGTTATAGTGCATAAGTTTGTAATGTTTGGTATGAGCTAGGCATTACTTAGGTGATGTGCTTTAATTACTCCATTTAATTAAAGAGGAAACTAAATCAATGAAACGGAACAACTTCCCAAGTACACAAATTTACAAGATTAGTAAATAGTGGAAACTTGCAAACCTATACAGCCCCTCAAGACCCTATACTCTAAAGCCAAATTAGCCAGTACAGGAAAATCCCAAAGAAAAATTTGGGTCCATGACAATAAGAAATGGCACAGTGTTAATATCCTTTCTATGGCTCTATCAGATCCTCCAGAATTAGCTTCTGATTAATCCCATCAGTACCACTTTTACAAGAACCAAATAAAAATGTCAAAAAAATCTTCAATTGTTTTGAATAACTTAAGAACAATTGGAATTATTTCTTTAAATATCTGTTGGAATTCAACAGTGAAGCCATCCAGTCCTGGGCTTTTCTTTGTTGGGATGGCCTTTGTTACTGATTCAATCTCTGTCTTGGTTTTTGGTTTGTTCAGGTTTTATATGCCTTCATGACTCAATTTTGGTAGGTTGTAGGTGTCTAGAAATCTATCCATTTCTTCTAGGTTTCCCAATTTGTTGGCATACAGCTCTTTGTAGTGATTCTTGATGATTCTTTTTATTTCTGTGGTATCTGTTGTTACATTTCTTTTTTCATCTCTGATTTTATTGATTTAGGGCTTCTCACTCTTTTTTTTTTTTTTTTTTTTTTTTTTTTTGGCTAGCTGGACCAATAGTTTATCTATTTTATTTTCCCCAAAAAACAGCTATTCATTTCCCTGATCTTTTGTATTTTTTGTTTCAATTTTGTTTACCTCTTTTCTAATTTTAATTATTTCTTTCCTCCTACTAATTTGAGGTTGGCTTTGTTGTGTTTTTCTAGGTCCTTGAGATGCACTGAAGCTCATTTACTTGGTTCCTTCCTAATTTCTTCAGGGAGGCATCAATTGTTATAAACTTCTTTCTTAATACTGCTTTTGCAGTATCCCATAAATTTGGTGTGTTGTATTGTTGTATTCATTCTTTTCCAGAAATCCTTTGATTTCTTTTTGATTTCTCACTGTTCATTCAGGAAATTGTTGTTCAGTCTCCATGTGTTTTCATATGTTCTAAAGCATATTGAGTTACTGATTTACAGCTTCATTCCATTGTGGTTAGAGAAGATGCAGGGTATGATTTAGATTTTTTTTTTTTGAATTTTCTGAAACTTGCTTTGTGGCCTAGCATAATGTCTATCTTAGAAAAAGTACCATGAACTGATGAGAAGAATGCATATTCTGTAACTGTAGGATGAAAACTTCCGTAGATATCAGGTCCATTTGATCCACAGTGTCTATAAGCTCTGTTGTTTCTTTGTTGATTTTTCTAATTGATATGTCCATTGATAAAATGTGGTGTTGAAGACCCCTGCTACTATTTTATTGGAGTCTATGTCTCACTTCAGTTCCATTAACATTTCTTTTAAATATCCAGACACCCTGTAATTAGGTGCATATACATTTAATATAGTCACATCTTCCTGTTGAATTGATCACTTAATCATTACATAGTGCCCTTCTTTGGCTTGACATTCCTCTCAGAGCTAGAAAAAAATGATGCTAAAATTCATATGGAAACACAAGAGATACCAAATAGATAAAGCAATCTTATACAACAAAAACAATGATGGAGGCATCACAATAACAGATTACAAGACATACTTCAAGGCAGTTATAATCAAAACATCCTGGTCCTGGCACAAAAATAGATTTGCAGACCAGTGGGACACAATAGAAATGTCAGAAAGCAACCCACGTGTCTACAACCAACTTATCTTTAACAAATGAGCTAAAATCAGTACCTGGATCAAGGACGGTCTCTTTAACTAATGGCACTTGGAAAACTGTATCTCCACATGCAGAAGTATTAAACTAGACCCATAACTTACATCTTATACAAAAACCCACTGAAAATGGATCAAAGGCCTAAATCTACAACACTATACAATAACTAACTAGAGGACTTTGGAGAACTTCTATAA